AAGTCGGCCGAGGATTCTTGCACGCCGCCGCGCAAAGGAGCTCCGTTCCAAAGGTGTGGTATATGGCGCCCACTCACCTTTTTTTATTTTTTATTTTTTTATCTTTTTTTTTTTTTTGAAGCCATATAGCATTGCTTACACCCACCCGCGTTCTTGTCGCTTGCAACTCTTACTTGTGCACCCATCACATGCACATGATCTTCACGTCCCAATATCTCTTTCGTAGTCGAGGCGCGCCGTGCCGCCCAAGCCAAGGCGCGGGCCGAAGCTGAGGCTGCCGCTGCAAAGCAGACTGCTGCTACATCATCCGCACCAGCATCCAGAGGCAATGCCTCATCTCCTTCGAGTTCGGCGCCACCACCGCCTTTGATGCGTCGTCGCTCTAGTCAGCAGATGATGAAGGTGCAGCGCCGTCGCAGCTCGATGCTGATTGCCCCCAACATTTCAGCGGAGGCCGCTGGACAGGTATCGCGTCCTCGGCGACTCTTGAGAAGGAAAACTTTAAAAGATATCGTCACTCATGCAGCATGTATCCTGCACGACAGATTCCACAACTTGTCATGGCGCAACTCGAGGAGCAATACAAGCAACACACAGTCCTGGCCAAGAGTGAAGCGCACATTGTGGCCGCTTGCCTAGACGAACTTCTCATGTAAGTTTGCTGGCTTTTGAGGACTCAATGAGGCTCTGCGTCATGTTCTTCATGTTGTCCCGTTGCAACAATGCTAGGCCCGCCAAGCAAGACATGATGCAGCGTCGGCGCGTAGCATCTCACGTTGGTGAGGTGTTGGGCGAGGTCAACGAGCTGCAATGGCAAGATTTGTTAAGTGGCAGTCAAGTCAGTCTTTGTCTGCGACCTTTCATTAACCGTCATCCTCAGGGGCACTGCTAGCTTGCTAAGATTTGCATGATGCTTCTTTTGCGTGACCCAACCGGCGCCACAGGTACGCCCAGGCGTGGTGCAGTATGGTGGTCTCAGTTATCACATGATCGAGCCGGATAACGGCGCATCCTTCTGGGCCTATGTCGTCAATCAGGTACTGGAAACTACGTTGTCCGGCTGCTGGTGGCGCTATCGGGATCAAACCCGAGCTTGGGCATCTCATTCGATTTTTGCTGAATTCACATAGACCATCAGCCGTGTGGTCGGCAGTCTCGAGGACCTCAAGCAAGTGCTCCCTATGATTGAAGACTCCCGGGCTGATGTTGAGCTCGCGCCTCTTGCGCGTGAGTTTGGGGATATTTCCGTGTACGCGCTCACCAAGCGAGTTGTGGACGGTGGTTTTATCGCCGACCTCGTCGTCGCGGCTCCAGTACGTCCTGGCTGGTCTAATCAATGTTTTTTTGAAAACATATCCGGCCATTTGTCAAATGAGACCTTACTCTGAGCCGCGACTGCTAGAGTTGAAGGGTTGTGCTCATCACTGCCTTGCATGCACCTTGCGCAGGAGGTTGTACATTGCGTCTGCGTTATGTGCCTTACTTCAACCATGCCACCTTCTCCGGATCACACCGTGACAACCTACGCGCTCATGCGTTTATGGCACGGCTATCGTGCTCGCGAGAATGCCATTGTCATGCCACTTAGCAGTCGTTCATCAATTCTTTTGCTCATCTATCATGTGCTCAATGCGCCATTACAATCCGAGGAGAATGTCCTGTGGACGCTGTGTCGCAAACTGCTGAGCGCTGGCGCCGCGCTGCCTGATTATGGGGTGCTCAATGCGCTTGTGGACACACTAACAGCTCGCCTCAAGGCACTCCTATCACGTGAAACACCGGGCCATACTCGCTTGCAGTTGGCTTACCCAGCTCCTTGGGTCAAGTCCCAGCAGTTTGTCTCTCCCAAACGAAACAGTCTGCGACACCGCAGTTCTGCTGCCAAGGGCTTGGGCACGGCGCTTCATACGACAAGTGTGCGCAAGGCATCCAAACCCCTCGCCGCAATTTGGCCCCCGCTGCAGGGTGATCGTGCTCCCAGTGCCAGTCCTGATCAAACACCAGTGCGCCGTGCCAGCAAGGCGCCGGTGCCAGCGCCTAAGCGGTTGCAACCGACGCAGGAGCTGCAAGCCAATTTGTCAGCCATGTTGTCAGACGGCTCGCCAGACCGACGACCAAAGCCAGCGCCAAAGCCAACCTTGCCCGCGAGTTTGAGTCAGGCACCCTCCGCTGGGTCCCCATCTGCACCCACGAGCACGACAGCTGCGGGAATATCATCACCTGAGGGTGAAAAACCCAAAGTATCAGCCACGCTTGCGCGTCGACAAAACGTCCTCATGTCCAAGCTTTCTGAGATGTTTGGTGCGCCTAGCCCCAAGCCCTCACCGCCACCACCAATGGCCAGTGCAATGCCACCGCCGCCCGCTCCAGCTGATTTGCCTGCACCGCCACCACCACCGGCAATGCCTGTAGCCGGGGCCCCCCTTGCCCCACCTCCACCTCCTCCTCCGGATACACTAGCAGGGCCTCTTCCTCCGACACCCCCCCTTCCCCCACCGCCGCCTGAAATGGACTTTTCATCCACACCTGGTCCACGAGGCCCATTACCTCCAGCCCCGCCGCCGCCTCCCGCAGCTTTGGCCGGTGTATCAAATGCAGATACCAGCAACTTGCCTCCACCTCCGCCACCCCCCGCCATGGTAAATAGAGCATCTCCTGGCAACTCTACTATGGTGCCACCGCCACCTGCAGCACCGCCTGCACCACCTGCAGCACCACCTGCTCCACCTGCAGCTCCACCTGCTCCACCTGCAGCTCCACCTGCTCCACCTGCTGCTCCACCTGCTCCACCTGCTCCACCGGCAGTGCCGCCTGCACCTCCTGCACCTGCACCACTAATGGGTACTGCTAGCCTTCCACCCCCCCCACCTCCACCACCACCACCACCTGGAGGGGCAGCAGCGCCCAAGGCACCCGTGAATGCCTTGCAGTCGAGCAGCGGTCTTGCAAAGCCCCCGGCGCCGCCAACGCCACCACCAGCATCTTCTAAGCCAGCGCTGATCAACTCCAATCCTGGAAGTGGGCTGCTTACACCACCGCCACCACCGGCTGCGCTGCGTGGACCTTCCCCACCACCGCCACCACCCGTACCTGC